ACCTTAGATAAGCTTTTTGTTTAGCACATTTCGGCTTCTTGCATCAATTTTTTTTTTGGCTTTATTTAGTGGCAACTCGAACCACTTTGTGAAAATTTTTCCCCTTTTAAACCTTAACTAAAACTTTTAAAACCACTCGAAAATGGTTATCTCAAAAGCAATTTGGTTGAATGAGAGTTCATTTTAAAGGAAAATGATTCGCCTTTCTAGGCGAATCATATCAATATCAATAGGCACAAAAACATGCATTTAAGCTTACCTCAAAAAAAAAATTTGAAGCAGTGAGATTCGGAAACCCATTTTTTATTAACGACCAACAATTTTATTAAAAATCCCTATTTGCTTTTGATTGCGTAGCATGTCAAAAGTTTTTTTTTTTTGGCGTTTGTTAGACACTGAAAACTCTATGTTTATGTGGAATAATATTTTTTCGAATTTGAAATCCGTTTTGTTCTAGCTTTTTTTACAATCTTGATATAAGCGGCCTTCTTTTCATGCCGTCAAAACTTTTCACCCACGGTTCCTATTTTGATCTAATACAGTTCCAATACGGTTCCAATACAGTTACAATACGGTTCCTATTTTGATCTAATACAGTTCCAATACGGTTCCTATTTTGATCTAATACAGTTCCAATACGGTTCCTATTTTGATCTAATACAGTTCCAATACGGTTCCAATACCCTGTACATAATAATATAATTTTTTATAATAGAAATTATTCGTTTTATCCATTTCTATTTAAGAATTGAAGTTTTTTTGACTCATAGTAATCATATCCATAATAAATGATTTTCGTTCTATTGAAGCTTTTAATTGATTATTTATTTATTTAGGTATTGGAGAACGTTCTGATGAGGTATGGCGTGTCCTTCGACGCTTATATGTAGAGAAGGGAGAACCAAGAGCTAGTCCAGATCAACCAGTCTCACATCTTTTTGTTTTGGACAGGTTGAGTGGTTTTAAATTTGTTGCTATATAATTTTTTTTTAGAGCTTTGGATAACGCTTCTGTGTTTTTAACGGCTTTAACATACGAATCAATGTTGCACGACACTTTTGGTATCTCGTGTGGCAAAGTATGTTTTTACGACAGAAATGACAACCATAGCGCGAATATTATCGAGCAAGAATATTATTTTCAGGTGACGTTTTCTGGCGACGTTGAAGAAAGGCTAAAAAGAACCACCGGCGAAAATGGTATAAATGAAGTGGAAAATAAAACCTCGAAAAGCAAGGTTAGTTTTTTAAAGCTAGTTAATAAAGCTAGTTAATGATACGCTAGTTAATAAATTTAGCCTGTTCTCTTGGACAATAATGATGCTGTCTTTTCTGCTGTTAGAAATTCTCATATGACGGCTGTTTTTCCATTTCTCTCCTCAAAAGCAAAAGAAATTCAAAATAACTACGGGAAAGGAACAAGTTTTGATCAGGTAAAACGTGATGGTTAATGTTTATTTTCTAGATCTTTTTTATAACAGTAAAATAACACAAATAGTATAATTATTTTTATTATTATAAAACGATTTTTATTATTATAAAAATCGATGACATTGACGGCAAATAGTAACAAATTTTTCGAGTTAAGGTTTCCGATATGAAATTATTTGTGTCAAATGAGTTGAAATCACTGAAACTTCAACATCGTCAATTGGAAACCCATATTTGTGCATGTGAGGTAAGTCGCTTGATTGATTTAAAAAGAATTAACACCAACTTTAGGTTGTATTGGAAAGGACGGCAATGGTAAATGCATCAGAGCGTCTGGAAATTGAACAGGCAATAATAGCAAACACGGCCGATCTCAATACTGTTTTTGAATACGCTGAAAACTGCATGCTTATGGTAATTGGTGATACCATTTTTTTAAAAAATTCAATTTTAGGATCATTCACCATGGCAAATACTACTTTTAATCTGCTTAGCATCGATGATGAATAATGGCTTGCCTGGAAAGTTGCTCAACTCGTTCAAGGTACTTTTTGCCTTTGGTGGAAATTAAAAGGAAATTGACCATCTTTTAGGAATCCTTCATCTCTTCTTATGGCATTGCTTTTTTGTCTGTGTTAAATACGCTGAGCAAGAAAAAGCTTCTGATGACACGCTCCATTCTTTCGTCCAGCACTAGTTTGCCAAATGTCATTGGTGTTCAACCCCATGAAGGTATTTATTTAAATTCGAATCACGTTATCCTGCTAAAATTTATCTACGATACAGGTAATTCAACTCTTCCATTCATTGTTAAACGTCTGTCATTGGTGCCAACCGCAACAGAGTTTGTAAATGATTTTAAAAATCCGCAAAAGTATGTCTTACTACATAGTGTTTTCTCTATTTTTGTTTAATTAGAATGAACTATGTATTTTCTGGAGCCTACACGCCGGTAATGTGCCAGGTGGTTTTTTTCTTTACTATTAGTATAGTTGATTTTAGGTTGTCGCTGATGTCATGATGCAAGGCTTCAATATTACGGATCTGAAAAAAACTTTTAATGGAAAGGTATGGGTTATTTTGCCTTTTATTGGAAAAGTAATTTTGCCTTTTAATGGAAAGGTTATTTTTCCTTTTAATGGAAAGGTTATTTTTCCTTTTAATGGAAAGGTAATTTTGCCACTACTATCAAATTATTTAGGTTTTTGTTGAAGAGAACAGCTTTGTTCCAGCAGAACGTCGACCAGATAGCCGAATGCGAAAAGCTATAATGGTAAGGGTTTAAACAAAGAAGAAGCGATTTAAACATACCAAAAGTTTAGGTCTTCTTTTGTGGTGGTGTCACTTATGCCGAGATCGCAGCACTTCGCCTCTTAGCACAATTGAATTCATTTCGGATAATTATCGTTGCAACTAATATTATTCATAGGGAAACTTACATCAAATGTCTTGGTGATGTATCTCAATTGTAGTTGGCATAAAAATATAAGATCTTCTTTAATTTCTGATAGTATATTTATATATTCTTTCCATTTATTCTTAGCATTTTCCAGGCTTCTCTTAATCTTTTTTTTTTCCAGGGTTTTTGTGATTTGATTTTGCGTTAAAAGTCATAAATAATTTTACGGAATCCATCCTATCACTTGGAGATTGAATACGCTTATTATGCTTGAAACTCTTTGAGTTTGGAGTAGGTATTTGGAAGTTTTTCTTTTAATGTACGCCGTATTACAAAGCCGACGATCTTGCAAGGAAATTAACTATTTTTTTTTGCCGTTTTTTTTTCTATAGGCTTTACGAAATTTGTTTTCCCTATAACCATCATTTTCTGTAGTTTATCACCGATGCGAAAAATTGTGTTTTTTAGAGAGATTAGCCAATAAATCGTAACTATTTATGGAAAAATCTAGAAATTTCAGTTTTCTTCTCAATGTTTTCAATCGGTCATAACCGGGCAATCATAGCTGGCGCTGCGTTTCTGGAGGGGAATCTGGAATGGGATTTGGAATGGGATTTGGAATTGAATTTGGAATTGAATTTGGAATGCAAGTACTGTAAGTAAATTTTGTCCATAGATTAAGTTTAGCGCAAAAGAAAGTAATGACGGTAGAAAAGGCACTCGGCAATAGCAAAACGAATGAATATAGCTATTTTCTATTGTATTCGTTTTCTCGTTACTATTTGGCACTTAATTTTATCAATTTTTCAGAAAAAAAAGGATACCTTCTCTCCACGCTCTTTCTTCGCCCAGGCCTCAATGTGATCAACCATCAGAAATTCTTGACTGACTTCCTGAAAAGTATCATTGTTAGAAGTTTTTTTGAGAATATTTCCCGGTTTATCAGTTCTAGATTTTAGATTTCGTATGATTTTGTGCATTTTAGATATTTCGATGAATTCTATAATGTGCTCCTAAGAGTTTTTGTCGGGATTACGGTAACGGGCAGTATAAAATGGGAAAATTTTGCAAGAAATTTCATTTGCATTGCTTTGTTAGGCTACCGTTTATCAAGTATTTTGTAATCAGAGTTAGTTAGAATAGTGTTTTCTTGCCGTTATTGTATTTCTTCTTCTATTTTGCGAAGTTTTTACCTCTACTGATTGTTTTTAATTTAGATATGAGCGAACCAAGTGGAAATGGCTTGAATACCGCTCTGCAAGCTCTCGAGGAGCACTTGACAACGAAGATCACGGCCAAACTGAAACAACAACTGAAACAACAACTGAAGCAACAACTGAAGCAACAACTGAAGCAACAACTGAAGCAACAACTGAAGCATCAAATGAAGCATCAAATGAAGCATCAAATGAAGCAACAACTGAAGCAACAACTGAAGCAACAACTGAAGCAACAACTGAAGCATCAAATGAAGCATCAAATGAAGCATCAAATGAAGCATCAAATGAAGCATCAAATGAAGCATCAAATGAAGCAACAACTGAAGCAACAACTGAAGCAACAACTGAAGCATCAAATGAAGCATCAAATGAAGCATCAAATGAAGCAACAACTGAAACAACAAGTGAAACAACAACTGAAGCAACAACTGAAGCAACAACTGAAGCATCAAATGAAGCATCAAATGAAGCATCAAATGAAGCAACAACTGAAACAACAACTGAAACAACAAGTGAAGCAACAAGTAAAGCTCCCGACATCAACCAGGAGGGTTCTCGCCGTTCAATTCGAGTTCCACAACAAGGTCATCGCCATGATTGAAGAGGCAATCGGGATGAAGGTATGTAGAAGTTTTTGAGGATACTTACGACTGGTTCACCAGTTCTATATTTTATAGCCCTTTGTTTATCGGTTAACTTAGCCGCAAATAAACTAGATAACAATAAACCGTAAGCACAGAAACCACGAAATCTTCTAGCTTTTGTAGCCGGTTATAGAAATTCTCTTTTCTATTATGTACTTATTTTTATCGATAAAAACGTCTAGTTGCTGCATTTTGTTTATCTTATAGTTATTTTCTTTTGCCAAATTGTCACCAATGGGGTCAACGGGTGTTTTCCCCCTTTCCCGTAGCCTTTTTTTTGCCACTCCTAAACAAGAGAGAAAAATCGATGTTTACCGGCGCGTTTCTTCGCCGCTTTCTCTCCACACAACAAGGGTCAGTTTGGGCTAAGGAATTTTTAAATTTGCATTTAAAACTTTCTGAGATTCAAACTTCTTTCTATATTTTTAGAATGCGAGCCGCTGTTTTAAGTGAATTCGGTGGACCCGAGAAAATATTGATCGAACACGCACACACCCGACCAACAGCTGTTCTCGATTCACAGGTTTGTCCAAAAAATCAAAAATATCTGGTCATTTTTTGTTTCCAAATTGATAAAAGGCATTTGAATTTGCAAGTTTTTGTGGTAGCCTGTTTAAATGGAAATGTTCCGTTTCCAGTTTCTGAGCAAAGTTGGGCTTTAGCTTTGTTAGCCTTGAAAATTATAGAAACGACTTGATAAAATGAATTTAAAATGGAAATTTTGATCGAATGAAATTGTTTTCAGATTCTAATCAAAGTCGCATGCTCTGGAGTGAATCCAGTCGATACATACGTTCGCGCGGGCGTCTACCCGATTCTTCCAAATCTACCGTATATTGTTGGACGTGATGGATCCGGAATTGTTGAAGAGGTGCAAGAGAATAATAATTAAAAGGACTAGAAAGATAAGCGAAAGCCTTGAAATAGTTAGAAACTGGATTTATTGGCAAGAATGAAACCGGACTTTATGGTTCTTTAATTTTAAAAGTATACGAGATTCAGTATAGGTTGTTAGGGATTTTTGAAATGCTTGAATAAAGCTTTAAAATATTGACCAGACGTAATTTTGATTGCTTTTAGCTTTAGAGTCGCCAAGCGGTTTGAAGAGATAGTGAGAATGGAATTACTTGAAAGAATTGCTGAAAGAATTACCCAAACTATTAATCTTATACTCAGCAATTTCTAGATTTGAAAATAATTGGAATTGATTGGTTTAGATTGGCAAACATGTTCATAATGTGAAGAAGGGTGACCGTGTTTGGGTGACGAATATGGGGAATGGAACCGCCGCCGATTATTGTGTTGTTGAGAAGGTTTGAAAAGCCGGCTGGATGAAGCTTTTTTTTTTTTAAACTCAAAAAACTTTAGGCAGGACTCCTCCCGGATGGAGTGACGTTTGAGGAGGGTACTTGCATCGGAATTCCCTATCTCACCGCCTACACAGCTCTCTTCCACAACGGATCCGCTGATGCGAGAGGGGAAAAGCGAAAAGTGAGATAGATCTTTATGAAGATTATTTGAAGATAATATATTGGAACCGTAATGGAACCGTATTAGATCAAAATGTGAACAGTATTGGAACCGTATTAGATCAAAATGGGAACCGTATTGGAAAATCGTTTTTTACTGAGGAAATTTCAACTTTTTGAATGATTCAGGGGTTTTGAGCAATCAATCTTGAGAAAATCGAGACGGCAACTTTAAAATCTTCCATTATTCCTTCTATTTTGGATGCTTTTTGAGTCAAACAATTGTTTAATGAGCTGTAGCGGAAATTCAGCTAAATTTATGGCAAAAATTAATCCGAAAAGTTTGAGCATAACCCACAAAAACGCAGAGTCAATTTAGTAGCTCATCGTTTCTTTGACGGGTAACGTTAAAATCGTTTTTCTAAAAATTTAATCAATACCAATTTTTACATGCTATCCAACTAAGAGAAAGCCAAAGTTTCATTAAAATTTGTTTACTCTAAAAAAAGTTAATAAGGGGAACACGTTTTTAGGCGATTTCTTCTAAAAAACCGCAATGTTTCAACTTGAATTTCTTGTGATAAAAGCACTGACGATCTAAAAAAAAACATTTTACTTTAAATTATAACTTAAACATAACTAGAATCATGATAAAAAGAAAAGAACAATAAAATGTTGTTAGCTTTTCGAAAAAATTTTTATTTCTAGTTTGTTATCGCCTCGAAATAGGTACCATCTAAAGAAAGAATTGTTTTAAAAAAGCTTTAAGCAAATGTAATTCATTCAAACAAGTTTTTACTTGTTTTTTTTGACGAATAGATGGAAGAAATAGCTTGGAAATCTGTTCACCTTATTAACTTTTTTTAGAGTAAACAGATTTTAATGAAACTTTGGATTTTTCTTTGTTGGATAGCATGTAAAAATTGGAATTGATCAGTTGATGGTATTGATTAATTTTTGGAAGATTGGTTTTAGATTGGTTTGATTGGTTAGATTGGTTAGATTGGTTTTAGATTGGTTGGTTTTAGATCGATCGGGCAATCGTTTGAAGCTCATTTTATCGAGGCTATCAATTAGAAATTGATTTTAATTGATTTTAATACTTTTAAATAGAAACTCGGAAACAGTAGCCTGTCTAGGGGATGGACAAAGAATAGTGGAAATCGAATTTTCTTTTGTTTTGTTTTAGAAGCGACTCCTCGTGCATGGAGCTTCAGGCGCTGTCGGTTTGGCGGCGATTCAACTAGCTGCCGCTCATCCACAAACTTTTGATGTAAGATTGGATTGGATTGGATTGGATTGGATTGGATTAAACCTTTAAAAATTATTGCTACAATTTAGAAACGAAAATGTCGCGCTGGCGAAAGAAATTAGCTTTAGCATTAGCAATTAGCAATTAGCTTAGCGAAAGTTTCAAAAGTTTTAAGAGTTTTACAGTCAATTCTATTTTTGCATAAGCCTAAATCCTTCAAATTATCATTTATTTGCGAATTTAAAGTTGAAAAACCGATTTTCATATATTTGGACTTTTATTTAGAAGCTTTAAATGCTTTAAGGCTCAGGCTCTGAGCCTTTAAGACTCAGGCCCTGAGCCTAGCCTAAGCCTGAGCCTAGCCTAAGCCTGAGCCTAAGCCTAAGCCTAAGCCTAAGCCTAAGCCTAAGCCTAAGCCTAAGCCTAAGCCTGAACCTGAGCCTAAGCCTAGCCTAGCCTAGCCTAGCCTAGCCTAGCCTAGCCTAGCCTAGCCTAGCCTAGCCTTAGCCTAAGCTTTAGAATTGATTCCAGATTGTTGTCGGCACGGCGGGCAGCGAAGACGGAGTGAAATTCGTGCAAGAGAATGGGGGAAATCATTGTGTGAATCATCGAAAAGATGGATACATTCAAGAGCTCAAGGACAAGTTTAAAGGTGAGACAAATGAAAGAAAAATAAAACAAAGAAGCTAAGTCGTATTCGGATAAAAATTTGGTCAAGTTTAATCTTGAAAACCCAGCTTTCAGGGTTCGATTTGGTGCTCGAGATGAACGCGCATCTTAACTTGAACAAGTCGATCGATGTGAGTTCTGTACTGGCTCTAGCACGCTCTAGCATGCTCTAGCACGCTCTAGCATGCTCTAGCATGCTCTAGCATGCTCTAGCACGCTCTAGTACGCTCTAGCACGCTCTAGTACGCTCTAGTACGCTCTAGTACGCTCTAGTACGCTCTAGCACGATTTCAGGCACATTTCTTCTTTAGTGTGCCAGTGAGCAGGTTTAAAATTCTTTCTAGCACATTGTCCCTTCAGTGTGCCAGCGTAAAGTTCTGCGCTCTGCTAGTAAAGTTCAGGAGTAAAGTTCTGCTGAGTTCTGAGTTCTATGAGCTCTAAGAACTCTAGGAACTCTAGGAGCTCTATGAGCTCTATGAGCTCTCAAAAGCTTTATACCCACCGGGATCGAACCCCGGAAAGCTTTCCGGAACGTTCGCTTTCCGCGCGAAACCTCTACCACTGAGCTGTAGGCTCATAGGGCTATCCTTTCAAGAATAGGAGAATCGTCCTTTTAAGAATAGGAGAACCGTTCTTTCAAGAGCCTCATAACAGCTTGAGTCTCTCTCTCTCTCTCTAGAATCTTCTATCCCTTTCAAAGCTCAAAGACATTGCTTGATTCAATATTTAATCGTATATCACAAGTCTCTAGTTAGATAAATTCAAATTCTTAAAATCCCTTCTTTAGAACTTCTTTAGTCTCAAATTTTTTTAGTTATTATCGATGAATGGCCGTGTGGTAGTGATTGGGAGTCGAGGACAAATCGATTTTGACCCTCGATCACTCATGAAGAAAGATGCTAGTGTTATCGGTTTGATTTTAAACGGATTTTTTTTTTTCGATTTTCAAATAGAAAACATAGAAAACTAAAAGTAAAGCGATGACTTTTCAGGTTGTGGCTTATCGAATTCACTTGAGGGCACTTTCAAAGAGTATTCAGCGGCAATTACACACTTTTTCGCAAACACAAAGTTTCGACCGAGAATTGCACAAGTCTATGAGCTTGAGGACGTCTCGAAAGTGAGTTGAGGAGATTGAGGAGATTGAGGAGATCTTGGAAGGGTTGAGGAGCTTGAGGAGATCTTGGAAGTGAGTTGAGGAGCTTGAGGAGATCTTGAAAGAGTTGTGGAGCTTGAGGAGCTTGAGGAGATCTTGGAAGAGTTGAGGAGATTGAGGAGCTTGAGGAGATCTCGAAAGTGAATGAAGAGGGATAATTGAAAGTAGAAAGAACAGGAATTTCGCTACCGTATTTATTCTAATAGAAGCGTATGCACTTATTTTGATTGAATTGCAAGAGAAACTTCTCAAAATTGCAAATTTTATGAATTTTTCTCAAGGAAATTTCTGATATAGCTTTAAATTTTCAAAATTAGGTATTCAGTCTACTAGGCTGAATATCCATAATTGTTGTCTCGATTGGAGACTGCGCTTTTATTTTTCATTCATTTCATAAAATTGTTTCTGTTAAAGGCTGAGCTTTTATTTTCAATCATTTCATAAAATTGTTTCTATTAGGGACTGAGCTTCTATTAGAGGCTGAGCTTCTATTAGAGGCTGAGCTTCTATTAGAGGCTGAGGTTCTATTAGAGGCTGAGCTTCTATTAGAGGCTGAGGTTCTATTAGGGACTGAGCTTCTATTAGAGGCTGAGCTTCTATTTTTCAATCATTTCACAAAATTGCTTCTATTAGAGACTGCAAATTTGGTTCCCTATCTCAACAAATTTGGTTCCTTATCTCTCTAAACTTGGTTCCTTACCTCCCTAAATTTGGTTCCCTATTTTCAACCATTTCATAAAATTCCTTCTATTGGAGACTGCGCTTCTATTAGAATGAATACGAGATTCAGTATTGCTGTCTGAATACTATTCTCGTGTACTCGATTCTCGTATACTCTATTCTCGTACACTCTATTCTCGTACACTCTATTCTCGTACACTCTATTCTCGTATACGATAAGCTAAAGATAAGCTTACTAGATTCCTTATCTTTGAAGATAAGCTTTTCTTTGAAGTTATCATTGTAAACATTCAGGCCCACGCAGCAGTGACCGCTGGCGGACCAACGAACGGACAAGTGGTAGTGAGAGTGGCGAAACTTTAGAATAAAAGAGGATTTGAATAAATATTATCTAATTTACTTGTTGTTACTTATTTTATAACATTTAATAATTAATAATACAGTCAAATATCGTTAGTAAAACTCGTTAGTAAAACTCGTTAGTAAAACTCGTTAGTAAAACTCTAGCAAATAAACCTCTTTCGTTAACTTTTCTAGCATCCCTTGAACAATAAAAACATTGAATTCAATCTCGATAGTTTAAAAAATAGTTTTGTGTATATGTCGTAGCCGCTGACGAATTTCAGCCGCTAACGAATCATTCGTTAACGGCTAGCCGCTAACGAATGAAATTTTTCGCTAGCCGATTACAAATGAAATTTTTTCACTAGATTTGTACGAAATCTTTGTAATCGGCTTCCGCGAACATGGCTAGATTCAAATGAATTTACCGTGTTTTTGGTTTCAAATTTTTTACGCAAAAAAAAGATTGATTTTGTAGCGAGCTATTTAAAGTTGTCAAAATGCCCTTTTGCTGAAATTGGGTCCTCCGGGAGGAGTCCACCCCATTGTTATCAGTGATTTCGGATTAATTTCTTTCTGCTTTTTTTATGATTCTTTGGTTTTATTATACAGAATCATTTGTTTTTTCAGGATGAATTAATTTCTCAACCAACTTGATGCGTATCAAGTTTTGAAAAAGCGAACGCATATACTAACGACGTAAAAATACGATGAAATTGTGAACAGATTGACAACAATGTCAAGTGAAGTTGAAAGCGAGAAACGGAAGCGAACGACAGAAGAGGCGAATTGGGCACGTCGTTACTCGATTCAATGTATTGAGCAATCAATGATACTCTACAATCATGGAGACAAAGGAGAGAACGAACAACCAAAACTAGTCGTCAAGAAAGAGGAACTCTTCGATGTTTTAACGTCAACTCACAAAAGACTAGGACACGCCGGCCGGGATTTGACGTGGAAAGAACTGCGAGGAGATTATCACGGGATCTCAAATGAAATACTCGAAATTTTTGTCAAACTTTGCCCGGAATGTGAATTAAAGAAGGGGACGCCAAAAAAAGAAGTTGTTGTGAAGCCGATGATAACGAAGGAGCAAAATGAGCGCTGCCAAGTCGACCTAATTGTTCTTCAATCGGTATGTTATACATGTTAAATATGTTATGCGTGTTAAATGTTATAAATTTTATTTCACTTGTTGTGATTAGTTTGCTGATTTTCGTTTTGTATAAATAGTTTAAAATCAAAGGCTCATTTCAATCGAGCCATGTTCACAGAAGCCGATTACAAATTGTGCACGGCTAGCGAAAAAATTTCATTCGTTAGCGGCTAGCCGTTAACGAATGATTCTTTAGCGGCTAGCCGTTAACGAATGATTCGTTAGCGGCTGAAATTCGTCAGCGGCTACGACATATACAATTTAAATGAAAATTTGTGAATTGCACACTTTTTGAGCCAAATTGGGACTCGTTTTAGAAGAAGAAGAAGAAGAAGAAGAAGAAGAAGAAGAAGAAGAAGAAGAAGAAGAAGAAGAAGAAGAAGAAGAAGAAGAAGATTCGCATTCGCATTTCGCATTCGCAAATTTGGCGCTAGGCTAATTTCCGCATTTTTTTTTCTTTGCGCAATGTCGAAAATGGTTTAAACACGCTTTCAAAGTGGCAACGAAAGTCTCCAGGATGAGCCGCATGAGAGGAGTGACTCCACGAGTGACTGATGTGGATTTGCTGCCAGAAATTGCAGAGAATCCAACACTGACTAGACGAGAATTGGCAAATGATGAAGATTCAACACTCACGACGCGAGAATTGGTAGCAATTGAAGAGAATCCAACACTTACTACTGGAGAATTGGCAAGAATTGAAGAGGTTTCAACACTCCTCCTTCAATTCAACACGAGAATTCGCAGAAATGTTCGATGTTGCAGGCTAATTATAAAGATGAAATGCACGAAAGAAAGCGGAAGCGATCAAGAAACGCAAATGATTTTGGGGTAGACTAATTTCCGCAAATTTTTTTTTTCTGCGCAACAGGGTCGTGCGCGCAACTCGCCATAACTTTCTTCTAAGCCGGTCAATCTTTATGATTTTGGTGCCATTTTGTTGCACTTGTTGAGATCTACAAAATGACACCAAAATCATAAAAATTGGTCGACTCAGAAAAAAGTTATGGCGAGTTGGGCAAAGAATTTGGCGCAAAGTAGCCAACCCAAATTTATCCAATCCTTATCCCTGAGGAGTTGTGGCAGTATCGAGAAGTCGTGGGCGAGCTTCTTCTCCTTTGGTGATCGTTGGATGAGCGCCAGGTCCATCGTCTTCTTCATGAACTGAGAGTTCCCGTAAGTGAGTCTTGCTGACCATAGTAGCTCTTCCAGACGATCGCGCAAATAACCCTGTTGCGCAAAAGAAAATTGCGGAAACGTGTACGCGCAAAAAAATGTAATAATGGAAATTCGTCTAGACACGATATAAAATCGATTTTCTCGTTTTCCCTTGATTTATTTTCTAAAAACGTTTGACTCTGATATGTTTTTAAAAAAATTGTTTCTTTATTTTTCGCTTTCTTTCTTGTTCTTTCTTTATTCTTTATTGTTCTTTCCCTTTACTAAAATACCTGTGAAAGCCAAGCGCTCTTGAGGCATTCGCTGGCGGTTAGACGTTCACTGAAATTTTCTTGATTTTCTTGAATTTTCTTGAATTTTCTTGAATTTCTTGACTTTTCTCGAAATTGAGATTAGATTTTTATTATTTGAGATATTAGATTTTGTGTTTTATTAGATTTTTAAGTGTTTGATCTAGTTGTTAGATACATTCATCTATCTACCTTTTTGGGCCAATCATCGTCGCAATAAGCGCCATCAATGAGGCTGAGTGGCGTGCAATTGGTTGTTGTTGTTGCTGTTGTTGCTGTTGTTGCTGTTGTTGCTGTTGTTGTTGCTGTTGCTGTTGTTGTCGATGTCGATGTTGTTGTTGCTGTTGTTGTTGCTGTTGCTGTTGTTGTTTGGTTGTTGTTGGTCTTCTAAAACTTCCAACTTGGCTAACAAGAATATTAATGATCGAATACCATTAGATGAATGGTATGCTCGCCTTAGATCAATGGCTCAGGCCCCTGAGCCTGAGTCTAAGCTCTATTTCCAGCTGTTAAAGCCTACCGTAACGCACGTGCCTCACCCCAGCAAAGTAGCGAAAGCACGGCTCCATAGGACCTAAAAAGCATTGAAATTGTTCCAATTGTTATCCCAGTCTCAAGCAGTATTTGCTGTGAGTTACGGTAAATTCCAGGGCTGTTTGAAAGAGTTCTTAGACTGTACGAACTATGCAGAGTGTTCAATCACTACCTGAACTCAGTTTTTTCCTTGTAGCACTCAAATTTCAAATCATTTAAGTCCATTTAAGTCCATTTAGGTCCATTTAGGTCCATTTAGGTCCATTTAAGTCCATTCAAGTCCATTTAGGTCCATTTAAGTCTATTTAGGTCCATTTAGGTCCATTTAAGTCCATTTAGGTCCATTTAAGTCTATTTAAGTCCATTCAAGTCCATTTAGGTCCATTTAAGTCCATTTAGGTCCATTTAAGTCTAGTTAAGTCCATTCAAGTCCATTTAGGTCCATTTAAGTCCATTTAGGTCCATTTAAGTCTATTTAAGTCCATTCAAGTCCATTTAGGTCCATTTAGGTCCATTTAGGTCCATTTAAGTACATTTAGGTCCATTTAAGTCTATTTAAGTCCATTCAAGTCCATTTAGGTCCATTTAAGTACATTTAGGTCCATTTAGGTCCATTTAAGTCTATTTAGGTAGATGTATCTCTTTTTGGGTATATTGTAAGTACTTGGTAGTACCCGTTGTACTCAGGAATGCTCTAGAACTGGAGCAAGGTCTTACCAAACGTCAGCAGCCATTGTCGGCGCTTCGGTTTCGGCTTCAGGCGCTCGAAATCGGCTGTCCCCGTCGGACCAATCCGTAGAACCATTCTGATATTTGCAATTGCAATCCTGTTATCGTTGGTGGGCCGGGGAGGGCCGGGGGCCGGAGAGGGGCCCGGGAAGGGGCCCAGGGCCGGGGGCCGAGGGTCGAGTTTCTAACCAACTTGTATCCCACTTTTAGATAGGTTTCTGTTAATAACTTTTGATAAAACAAATAGTTTCTTAAAGTTAACGTTCTAAGCTATCAAAATTTCATTAAAACTTCGTGATCTGATGAGTTTAAGGTGCTTAAAAATGAGGTGGAAGTTGGGGGAAAAATTGGCTCCCACCGATAGTCGCCGGCCGCCGTTTAGCGTAAAGATCCCTTGAAAAGATCAATTTTCTATAAGATCTTACCAATTTTAGAGTTCTTTAAAAGGCTTCTTTAAACGACTGCTCTAAAAGATTCTAAAAAGAATATAAGTACCCATTGAGCGCATCCAAAGTCGATCAAAGTAGCTCTGCTCTCGACAAGAATATTCTCTGGCTAAAACTCTTTGAAACAGCTAAATAACAAAAAAAACCTTAACATCTAAATGAATGATTCCTTTATTGTGAATGTATTCAAGTGCAGAGAAGATTTGTCGAGAGATTTGTTGAAGAATTGCCTCTGAGAAGTAGCCCAATTCACAGACGAAACTCACAATGTTGATGCCGACAACTCTAGGAGTGCAAATGAAAAGGAAATTGGTTTGGAAAGGATTTGAAGCTTGAAGCTTGGCTCAGGCTCAGGGCTCAAGCTCAGGCTCAAGCTCTGGCTAAGCCTAAGCTTGAAGCTTGAAGCTTAAAGCTTGAAGATTGGCTCAGGGCTCAGGGCTCAGGCTCAGGCTCAGGCTCTGGCTAAGCCTAAGCTTGAAGCTTGAAGCTTAAAGATTTGAAGCTTGGCTCAGGCTCAGGCTCAGGGCTCAGGCTCAGGGCTCAGGCTCAGGCTCTGGCTAAGCCTAAGCTTGAAGCTTGGCTCAGGCTCAGGCTCAGGGCTCAGGCTCAGGCTCAGGCTCTGGCTAAGCCTAAGCTTGAAGCTTGAAGCTTAAAGATTTGAAGCTTGGCTCAGGCTCAGGCTCAGGGCTCAAGCTCAGGCTAAGCCTAAGCCTGAGCTTAAAGCTTAAACCTTAAAGCTTGAAGCTTAAAGCTTTCTTTATCAATCTAGCTTATCAATCTTACCTTTTCATGACTAAAACTAAGCCACGATCCGAGATAAACGAACCAAGAAACTCGGGAAGATTCGAGTGATTCATTTCTGTAAATCGTCAATTTGCCAATTGCCAATTGCCAATTTTTTTCTCATTTTTTTTTTCTATTTTTTTTCCTATTTTTACCAATTTTCAAACCCTTTTTTCTCAGCATTGCTTTAAGCTAAAAAACTCTTTTATATCTTAAAAAAACACCCATTTTCTCTACTTTAATTTGATACCAAAGCGTTTAGAAATCAACGTTTCGATCACAAATTATGAGGGTTTTTTTGAGAGTGAAATTTGACTGCTAACTGGCTGTGCTCTTCGTTTAACAAAACACGATTTAGCATTTGCATTTTAGCATTTGCATTTTCTATTCAATGCATCCCCTTCTGGCAGATTAATCACTGCGCTAGAAAGGCTGCGTTTACAAGCAAAGCAAAGCAAAGCAAGCAAGCAAAGCAAAGCAAACTTTAGTACTTTACCTTGCAACATCGACGCCTCTCTCTCAATATCTTTTCGGCTGCGTCGAGCCGCGTAGACCTTAGCGGCTAGTTTCCTAAAAGTTAAACTCATTACAGTAAACTGGATTTCCGTAATCTACAGTAACCTTTTGTTAGCTTATTACAGAGGAAAGAAATGACAAGAAACTCTAGACTTTCTGCTTTAGATGCTTCTACGAATGAGCCATCTGCCTTCTTTACCCAGGGAAGACAGGGAAGAGAAAGAAACGAAGAAAGAAAGGAAGAAAGAAAGAAAGAAAGAAATTGAAAGCCCCAGACCTTTAGAACCGTAATCCAATTCTAGAAAATATCCCCTACTTTGTCCAGCTTGAGTCAAAGAAAGATGGCTTTACAAATGAAGATATTCAAGCTGACAATGAACAATTGTCACTGACTGACAATGAATGATCCAACAGACCAAATAAGCCATAGACTATTCGAATTTTACATTGATTCCAAATATTTGCTTAATTTTTTGTGAAATCATTCTGAATCCAAGTGAAAAACAATAAAAGAATGCAGTAAGCGGTGTCGAACCCTCGACTAGCCGCCCTGTATCCTAACGACTATCCACTACACCACGGAACCATCTCGGACGGTCCCTGCATAAGCCTTATAAAGAGACCCCCAGCGATTTTGCAAAAACGAGTCAGCATAAAATTTCGGATGGTCTTATTTGGGTGAATTTCGGATGATCCATTACGTTGTCGCGGTGGTCTAGTGGTTAGTGTCGTGGTCTACAGAACTGATCAAGGTGGGTTCGACTCCCAGCTTGGTTTTTTATTTTTCACAATGATATTTCTGATTATTATATAAGTAAAATATTATAAGAATTTGTAATATAATTATTATAATTATTATAATAATAATTATTTATTATTATTAATTATTATTATAATATGGCAAGCCATCGAGATGAGGCTATTTTCTCGCACAGCGAGTGCACGTATCAATCGATCGAAAGCCGGTCTTTACTTTCATTGCGCCTTTAGGTTTTCCACCCTCGCGCATACGCAAGACTCCTTGGTCCGTGTTTCAAGACGGATCGGATAGGTGATCGACTTGCACACCGAAGTCACGCTAGTCGCGACACGTCTCCCCGACACGCCATAAGTGGGCAACACTTGCCACAACACAGTGCCGGTTCGACGCGCACAATCAACCCACTCAGCGCATACAGACAACGAGTGCACCGGGCCCGAAGGACCCAAGGAACAAGTGCACCGGGCCCGAAGGACCCAAGGGCCCAAGGAAGTGCACCGGGCCCGAAGGACCCAAGGAACAAGTGCACCGGGCCCGAAGGACCCAAGGAAACAAGTGCACCGGGCCCGAAGGACCCAAGGAACAAGTGCACCGGGCCCGAAGGACCCAAGCAACAAGTGCACCGGGCCCGAAGGACCCAAGGAACAAGTGCACCGGGCCCGAAGGACCCAAGGAACAAGTGCACCGGGCCCGAAGGACCCAAGCAACAAGTGCACCGGGCCCGAAGGACCCAAGCAACAAGTGCACCGGGCTGAATGTTGCCTCGTTACGTCGACTCCGTTTCGACTATCCGTTTCGACTCCAGTGGTTTCACGCACTCTTGAACTCTCTCTTCAAAGTTCTTTGCAACTTTCCCTCACGAACCCAACGATTCCTTTGTACTTTATTCAGTTCTACTAATCATTTAAAAAGTACATTTGTTTCCTCTTTACGTCATTTGCTCCAAAAACAAATGCCGTTCGTCCACGGCCAAGAATCTCCGAAAAAGCGAAATTTTCTTCAAATATTGGAAGATTTTTCTAGAAAAAAATTCATTAAATATTGAATTTTATTTTATTTTCTTTTATTTTCTTTTATTTTATTTAGATTTCTAAAAAGATATTCAATTAACTCACGAGTTTTTTCGTTTCTTCTGTAAAATCAAGCTCAATCTCTTTCGATGCGTGACTTTGAAAGTGCAAATTGTAAGCGATCACTCGAACGCGATAGTGAGTGCAACGGAAATTTCTGTCGCAAAAGAAGATTTGAATAGATGCTTTGATAGGCTTTAATAGGGTTTAATAGGTTTTAATAGGGTTTAAAGAAGCTTTAATAGACTTTAATAGGGTTTAATAGGGTTTAATAGGTTCTAATAGGGTTTAATAGGGTTTAAAGAAGCTTTAATAGGTTCTAATAGGGTTTAATAGGGTTTAATAGGGTTTAATAGGGTTTAATAGGGTTTAGTAGGTTCTAATAGGGTTTAATAGGGTTTAAAGAAGGCTTTAATAGGTTCTAATAGGGTTTAATAGGGTTTAATAGGGTTTAATAGGGTTTAATAGGTTCTAATAGGGTTTAATAGGGTTTAAAGAAGCTTTAATAGGTTCTAATAGGGTTTAATAGGGTTTAATAGGGTTTAGTAGGTTCTAATAGGGTTTAATAGGGTTTAGTAGGTTCTAATAGGGTTTAATAGGGTTTAAAGAAGCTTTAATAGGTTCTAATAGGGTTTAATAGGGTTTAATAGGGTTTAATAGGGTTTAATAGGGTTTAGTAGGTTCTAATAGGGTTTAATAGGGTTTAAAGAAGCTTTAATAGGTTCTAATAGGGTTTAATAGGGTTTAATAGGGTTTAATAGGGTTTAATAGGGTTTAGTAGGTTCTAATAGGGTTTAATAGGGTTTAAAGAAGCTTTAATAGGTTCTAATAGGTTCTAATAGGGTTTAATAGGGTTTAATAGGGTTTAATAGGGTTTAGTAGGTTCTAATAGGGTTTAATAGGGTTTAGTAGGTTCTAATAGGGTTTAATAGGGTTTAGTAGGTTCTAATAGGGTTTAATAGGGTTTAGTAGGTTCTAATAGGGTTTAATAGGGTTTAGTAGGTTCTAATAGGGTTTAATAGGGTTTAAAGAAGCTTTAATAGACTTTAATAGGGTTTAATAGGGTTTAATAGGTTTTAATAGAAGCTTTAATAGGCTTTAATAAGGTTTAATAGGCTTTAATAGAAGCTGCTTTCAAAATCTAGATACTTTTCGGTTTATAAACCCTCATCGCCAACAAAACGCTAACAAATATCCCCTACTTTGTCCAGCTTGAGTCAAGAAAGATGGCTTTTCAAATGAAGACATTCAAGCTGGACTGACAATGAATGATTTAACAGACTAAATAAGGTATGGGGATGAGTCTGGAGAGGTGTGGGGATAAGGGATCCTCATGAGTCAGAGGTATGGGGATGAGACTGGAGAGGTATCACCATACCTCTTTTGGCCAACAAAACCCCAACAAAACGCCAACAAAACAAATGCCTCCTTGCTGTGGCTTATCGGAGGGTTATATAACCTTCTATAGCCTTCTATAGCCTTCTATAGCCTTCTATAGCCTTCTACAGCCTTATATAGCCTTCTACAGCCTTCTATAGCATTCTATAGCCTTCTATAGCCTTATATAGCCTTCTATGGCATTCTATAGCCTTCTACAGCCTTCTATAGCCTTCTATAGCCTTCTATAGCCTTCTATAGCCTTATATAGCCTTCTATAGCATTCTATAGCCTTCTATAGCCTTCTATAGCCTTCTATAGCCTTCTACAGCCTTCTATAGCCTTCTATAGCATTCTCGAGCCTTCTCTAGCCTTCTATAGCCTTCTACAGCCTTCTATAGCCTTCTATAGCCTTATATAGCCTTCCACAGCCTTCTATAGCCTTCTATAGCATTCTATAGCCTTCTATAGCATTCTATAGCCTTCTATAGCCTTATATAGCCTTCTATAGCCTTCTATAGCATTCTATAGCCTTCTACAGCCTTCTATAGCCTTCTATAGCCTTATATAGCCTTCTACAGCCTTCTATAGCCTTCTATAGCCTTCTATAGCCTTCTATAGCATTCTATAGCATTCTACAGCCTTCTACAGCCTTATATACGCTCTTGGTTCAAGATTTGAGTTGACAACCTTTTGAAATCTATCCCCGATCTATACCCCGATCGATAACTGCATAGTATCGCTTTTAAAAAAACTATTTCCTAGTAGCGCAGCTGGCCCGGGAACCGAAAAGTACCCAAATCTGATCAATTGAAAGCTTATTCCTGATCTATGATCGATTCAAAGCTTATTTCAATTCAAAAACCAACCTCAAGACAACTTTATGCGTGCTGAGATCACTCCGAGCACAACGATACGCTGTCATCCCTGAAAAGCTGATGGCTTTGGCTGCAAAGCTGATTGCTTTATTGTCAACTTCTGGATCGAGATCCCAAAGCATTTATCTTTTCGAGTTTTCAGACATGATTTGCCCCAATTTCAAGGCATTTTTGGTCATAAACTTCGAACTTTACAGGGATTTTAGATCGTTTACCTAGCTTAGTTGTTTAGATGGTTTACCTAGCTTACCTAGCTTTGTCTAAGCTAGGTAAGCTCTAGCTCTAGCTTAGACAAAGCTAGAGTTAGGAGTAAGCCAAAAACAGAACCTAACCTCTGGTGGGAAAAGCCAAATGATTTGCTTGACTCTGGGAATCTGCCAAACTTCAAGCTAAACCTGGCTAGGATATAATGTAGCTTAGAGGTGATCTGATCAGGTCTGATCTTCAGAATTGATCTGATCAGGTGTGAGATCAGAGCTGGCCTTCAGAGCTGATCTTCATGGCTGATCTTCAGAGCTGAACTTCAGAGCTGGCCTTCAGAGCTGATCTTCATGGCTGATCTTCAGAGCTGAACTTCAGAGCTGGCCTTCAGAGCTGATCTTCAGAGCTGGCCTTCAGAGCTGGCCTTCAGAGCTGGCCTTCAGAGCTGGTCTTCAGAGCTGGCCTTCAGAGCTGATCTTCATGGCTGACCTTCAGAGCTAGTCTTCAGAGCTAGTCTCCAGAGCTGGTCTTTAAATCTGATCTGTCTTGACAAGCCAGGTCGAACAGCAGTGCTGTCACAGCATCCCAAGGTAGAAAGCCAAAGTCTGGCTAGATTGTAGATCAAAGGATTCTTTCAAAGCTGAAAAAACCTCACTAAAAGCTCACTAAACAAAGCTAGACCAGATACTGGTTTCTGGCCTTGCCTACCTAGCTAAACCCACCTCAGCCTAACCCAGCTAAAACTGACCTTTCTCTCTTACACTTTTCTATATCCAAGCATAAATTCAAAAGGATTAAGAATGAGAATCTCCTCCAATCACCAACCATCTCTCGTGTATTCCACCAAATATTTGCATTCCCTTTCCCCGATCCATTGCAATCGAATCGAGCAAGGGCCGATGATCTCATGGTGGACACCTTGAGGTGTTGAGGGACGAGTGTGAACGGTTAACTGAAAATTCTAAGATCTAAAGATTTAGTTCTACCCACCAAAGCCTCCGTTGATGTTGTGCCGAATTGATTGGTGGCTATGATTGAATATGGACCGGAATGGAGATCCTTGCACTTCTCGATCATCAATTTTGTGTTCCCCTTCCAAGCCTGATGAGGAAAGGTATCGTTATTTATAGTAAAGAGGGACAGAAATGATTTTCAGGGCAGTCTAGGCTAAGTAGAGCCGGATCGAGGTCTAGATCTGGCTCCAGGTCTAGATCCTGATCTAGGTTTAGATCCAGATCCAGGTCCAGGGGCAGATCCAGATCCAGATCCAGATCCAGGTCTAGATCCGGCTCCAGGCCCAGGGGTTGATCCAGATCCAGGTCTAGACCCTGATCCAGGTCTAGATCCAGATCCAGGTCTAGATCCAGATCCAGGTTCAGACCCAGGTCCAGATCCAGCTCTAGATCCAGATCCAGGTTCAGACCCAGGTCCAGATCCAGCTCTAGATCCAGATCCAGGTTCAGACCCAGGTCCAGATCCAGCTCTAGATCCAGATCCAGGTTCAGACCCAGGTCCAGATCCAGCTCTAGATCCAGATCCAGGTTCAGACCCAGGTCCAGATCCAGCTCTAGATCCAGATCCAGCTCCAGATTCGAGCTACAGATCTATGGCCAGCACATCTAGTCACTTCCTAGTCAGATCCAGGTTCAGACCCAGTCCAGGCCTATTCATACTGATCTAGACTAAACCGTTCCCCCCTTGGTTCGATCGGTTTAGCTGGTTAAATCAAAGTATTGAATTCTCAGGCTTACAGATGTTGTAACTGGTACAGTTGCTTTAATTAAACCCACAATGATCCTTGAGTCAGCGAACTCGACCGCCGTGCCCCTCCAAACGATCTCCAGAGCGCACGGACTCTCGAATTCAGCCACAAAAGTCACACTGAAAGCTTTCTGATGTCATTTTTCTATATTTAAACCTGTCGCCTTCTTTTACGACTTGATCCTGAAGTCTTTTGACAACGATTGGTCGTCCATCAGGGATCTAGAATCATCTTGACATCAGCTTAATCAGCTAATCAGCATCAGCTAATCTTGACTTGATCTTGACAGTTATCAAATCGATTGAGCTATTTATTTCTAATTGCTTTCATCTTTTACCAAAGCTTTCGAATTCAAATTGAGCCTTCCATTGATGATTGCTTCGCTTGGAGTTAGTGGATTGCTAGGATCTCCCGGGAGGCAACTCCTAAATTTGCTAGCTACTAGCTTGATGTCTAAATTTGTCTAGCTTGGTTTTCTAGATGCCTAGCTCAATAGACTAGTCTAAATCTAGGTCTTTAGCTCTTCAGCTCTAGCTCTTCAACTCTAGATCTTCAGCTCTAGCTCTTCAGCTCTAGATCTTCAGCTCTAGATCTTCAGCTCTAGCTCTTCAGCTCTAGATCTTCAGCTCTAGATCTTCAGCTCTAGCTCTTCAGCTCTAGCTCTTCAGCTCTAGATCTTCAGCTCTAGCTCTTCAGCTCTAGATCTTCAGCTCTAGCTCTTCAGCTCTAGATCTTCAGCTCTAGATCTTCAGCTCTAGATCTTCAGCTCTAGATCTTCAGCTCTAGCTCTTCAGCTCTAGATCTTCAGCTCTAGCTCTTCAGCTCTAGATCTTCAGCTCTAGATCTTCAGCTCTAGCTCTTCAGCTCTAGATCTAGCTCTTCAGCTCTAGCTCTTCAGCTCAAATCAGATCCCAAGTATCACTGAATTGACTTTATTTGCCGCACTCTCATTGACTGACTGAAATGCCTGCTCCTCATCGAGTGCCACCTCGATCTCGTCAACGACGGCTGTCCAGATTCGACGATACCTTAAAAGCCTTACAAAATACAATTGCTGCTCTTCATTTTACCGTATTTGTTCAGCCAAATTGTTGCCAGGAATTTGATTCAATTTTAAAAAGACAGTCGCCACTTTTCCTCTTTCACCAGTCTTTCTCTGCACTCGAGCGTATCCATTCGACACGTCAAGGATCTCGATCTTGAAAGTGATTCAGCTTATCGCCTGCCAGATTAGCTTGCCAGTATTTCTTAACGACTACGCGACTGTACGCGACTGTTAAAAGCTATTTGTTCAGCTTTGAGCAGAGCAGAGCTGAGCTTGGGCTTAGGCTTAGGCTCTCTGAGCTGAGCTGAGCCGAGCAGAGCTGAGCCGAGCAGAGCAGAGTTGAGCAGAGTTGAGCCGAGCTGAGCCTGGTCCAACTTTTCTATTGTCAGATCTAGCCAGGCCTAGCCAAGAACTAGAATTTGTCTTTGGCTATCAGAGATTTCAGAGATCAAGCAAACGACTACGCGACTGTACGCGACTGTACGCGACTGTTAAAAGTGATTTGTTCAGCTTTGAGCTGAGCAGAGCTAAGCCGAGCTATCAAGTCCTTCAACTTCTTCAACTTCTTCAACTTTTATCAAACCTCTTCTCCAGACGCTAACGCAATTCCATCGCTGTGCAATGGCCTATAATTTGTGGCCGCTTCAGCAAATAAACGAACGGGAAATGCCTGAAAGATCGCAAATTTAAAGCATCAAATTTAAATCCCAATTTTCATTGAACTTTGAATCGAATCAATTCCAGATAAATCGAATGAAGAAGGGGAAAACTCTGAGAACGAGATCCCATGCGGTTTCCGGTACTTTGTGTAAGTGTACTTTGTGCTTAGACTTGCAAACAAACTCCCCCTAGTGCACTGAAATCCTCATCTTCCTCACAGCAAAAATTCACAGCAAATTCAGCAATCACAGCAAATTTAAAGCAAAAATTCTTGTCTAAATGCGGCCAGCGGGGGTCGAACTCGCGACTCTTTCAAGAGGGTCGCCTTGAGACCAATGCTCTAACCGACTGAGCTATAGCTGCACGGTACCCCTCCTCCAGAAAGGGCGTTTTAACAATTTTTGAACTTGAAACAAAAATCTTTGTCGTCAGGAGGACTCGAACCCGCGGCTTCTAACTGAGGGCTGCCTTCAAACCAATGTTCTAACCGACTGAGCTAGGTCTGCTCCCCGGAAAAGGGCGTTTTAAACAAGTTTTGCTTCAATTTCTGAAATCAAAAAAGCTTGAACCGCCAGAAGGGGTCGAACCTGCGACCTCTGGTTGAGGGCCGTCGGTAAACCAATGCTCTAACCGATTGAGCTATGGCGACACGGAGATCCTTAGCCAGAAAGGACTTTTTAACAATTTTGAGTTTAAAGTTAAAATAAAAAACTTGGTCGCACGGCGGACTCGAACCTGCGACCTTTGCCTGAGGGCTGCCTTCAAACCAATGCTCTAACCGATTGAGCTATGTCGACACAGTGACCGGTCGCCAGAAAGAGCGTTTTAACAAGGTTTAAACCCAAACCACCCCGAAATCTTTACCGAGAAAATCTTCTGTCCAAAAGGGGTGTACTTTGTGTTGAAAATTTGTACACAAACTCTTTCGACTGTATCCATGACTTTTCTACGAATTCAATGCCCCAGAAAGCGTGTGTTTGACAAAAAATAAGCACAAAGTACATTTGATAAGAGTGCATTTTTTTTGTCACTTTTTCCTTAATGAACAACTTTTGTTTTGTTTTCAATCACTGTTTTCTCATTTTTGCTCACTTCAAAACACAAAAAAACACATTGCTTTCACGTTTATTTCAATGAATTTCTGTTATTTGAATGAATTTGAATGAATTTGAATGAATTTGAATGAATTTGAATGAATTTGAATGAATTTGAATGAATTTGAATGAATTTGAATGAATTTTGAATGAATTTTGAATGAATTTGAATGAATTTGAATGAATTTGAATGAATTTGAATGAATTTGAATGAATTTGAATCAATTTGAATCAATTTGAATGAATTTGAATGAATTTGAATGAATTTGAATGAATTTGAATGAATTTGAATGAATTTGAATGAATTTGAATGAATTTGAATGAATTTGAATGAATTTGAATGAATTTTGAATGAATTTTGAATGAATTTGAATGAATTTGAATGAATTTGAATGAATTTGAATGAATTTGAATGAATTTGAATCAATTTGAATCAATTTGAATGAATTTGAATGAATTTGAATCAATTTGAATGAATTTGAATCAATTTGAATCAATTTGAATGAATTTGAATGAATTTGAATCAATTTGAATGAATTTGAATCAATTTGAATCAATTTGAATGAATTTGAATGAATTTGAATGAATTTGAATCAATTTGAATGAATTTGAATGAATTTGAATCAATTTGAATCAATTTGAATCAATTTGAATGAATTTCAATCAATTTCAATCAATTTCTGTTCTTTTATCTTATTTTATGTTATATTTTTGCAAATTTCTTTCAAAAAATCATAAAAAAGCGAACTTTTATTAAGAAAAATGATAGAAAAAGGGTTTAAAAATGAAAAAAATTTGCAAAAATTGAAAAAATTGAAAAAAAACGAAAGAGATCACAATAATTTGAAACAAAAAAGACAAAAAAGATGAAAAAAGACAAAAAAAGACAAAAAAGAGGGGGTGGGACAAATGCGACCTTTTTTTTGCGCACCTGGACATTTGCGCACCTTTTTTTTGCTGGAAAAGGCCTTAGGAAAGGTCGTAGAGCTTCGAAAATGTTTTCATAGAAGGGAATCGTATGCGTAGGATCCGAATTTCGACAAATCACACCCCGCTGACACGTCAAATTTGGGCTAAAAAGCAAAAACTATGCAACCTAATGCTTTTCCGCAGTTTTTGCCTTTTAGCCCAAATTTGACGTGTCAGCGAGGTGTGATTTGTCGAAATTCGGAAACTACGCATACGATTCCCTTCTATGAAAACGCTTTTGAAGCTCTACGACTTTGCCTAAGGCCTTTTCCAGCAAAATCACAATAATTTGGTGCGCAAATAATGTCCAGGTGCGCAAAAAAAAAAAGCCGCATTTGTCCCAGCCCCAAAAAAAGACATAAATTGAAATTTTTCTTTAAAAAAACAGCATTTCCTTAGCATTTCCTAGAAGAAGAAAAGGAGAATTTCGAAAAAAAAAAAAAAAAAAACGAAAAACCATGTTGATCTTTCGATTCTTTACATTTTTTTATAGAATAAATCAAATTTTTTGCTTATCGATTTTAAAAGTCGATTTTAAAACTCGATTTTAAAAGTTTAACGCTATTAAATTTGCTTAAATTTGAACGATTTCAACCATTTCAACGACGATTACTTTCTGTTCTTGGTTTCGAGGTTTAACAGGTTTGACCGATAGGTTTGACTTTGCTTACTGTTCTGACTTACTTAAAGCTTTGCTTTACTTTGCTGGGCTTTGCTTTACTTTACTTTGCTTTACTTTGCTTTATTTTACTTTGCTTTACTTGGCTTTACTTTACTTTGCTTTACTTTGCTGTGATTTGCTTTACTTGGCTTTACTTTGCTTTACTTTGCTTTACTTTGCTGTGCTTTGCTTTACTTTGCTTTACTTGGCTTTACTTTACTTTGCTTTACTTTACTTTGCTTTGCTTTACTTTACTTTACTTTGCTTTACTTTGCTGTGATTTGCTTTACTTTGCTTTACTTGGCTTTACTTTACTTTGCTTTACTTTACTTTACTTTGCTTTACTTTACTTTGCTTTACTTTGCTTGGCTTTACTTTACTTTACTTTGCTTTGCTTTACTTTGCTTTACTTTACTTTACTTTACTTTGCTTTACTTTGCTTTACTTGGCTTTACTTTACTTTGCTTTACTTTACTTTGCTTTGCTTTGCTTTGCTTTGCTTGGCTTATAAAGCCCTGATGGCCAAATCTTCTCTACGTTGGTAGCCTAGTGGATAGTGTTATCGCGTTGAACTCGAACTGTTAGCGCGTTCTTTCCCTCGTTCTCGCGTTCTCTCCCCAGTTCGAAGCCTATCGCTGGGAAAACTTCTTTCTTAGCATGTTGCTATGGTTGAAGATGAGGATGAGTCTAAGAAATCTAAGAAAGACGAAGAAGCAATTGCTCTGGCTTCTCTTCTTCATTGCCCTGGCTTCTCTTCTTCATTGCCCTGGCTTCTCTTCTTCATTGCTCTGGCTTCTCTTCTTCATTGCTCTGGCTTCTCTTCTTCATTGCTCTGGCTTCTCTTCTTCATTGCTCTGGCTTCTCTTCTTCATTGCTCTGGCTTCTCTTCTTCATTGCTCTGGCTTCTCTTCTTCATTGCTCTGGCTTCTCTTCTTCATTGCTCTGGCTTCTCTTCTTCATTGCTCTGGCTTCTCTTCTTCATTGCTCTGGCTTCTCTTCTTCATTGCTCTGGCTTCTCTTCTTCATTGCTCTGGCTTCTCTTCTTCATTGCTCTGGCTTCTCTTCTTCATTGCTCTGGCTTCTATGCAAGATGATACAAGATGATAAAAGCTATTCCACTTTCCAGGTTTCCACGAGTTTTCGTTTCGTTTCGTTAGTTTTCCGTGCAGAAACCTAGGCTAAAAACATGTGTTTCGTGATCAGCGTCCAAAATAACCCCTAGACAATCCAAAATAACCCCAATAAACGAGAAAAACGAAGGAAAAGCGCGAAAAGCGGCGGAAAGGCGATTGTTCTGAGGGTCGCTGGTTTGACCTCCACCGGTGACAATATTTGTGCAAAAATTTTTTGCTAAAATTCTGAAAATGCGTGTCTAGGGGTTATTTTTGACGCTGATCACGAAACACATGTTTTTAGCCTAGGTTTCTGCACGGAAAACTAACGAAACGTGAAAACAGCCATTTTTTGGCTTTTTTGGCTCTGCCGCCCTTTACTAAAATAGCTGTAAAAACTTTTCGAAAAGAGATATCTCAAAACGGTTTTTACCAATCGATCCGTCTTGAATTCAGCTTTAGAATGAGCTATAAAACGTCAAAATTCGACAAATTTAAGGTACTCTCCCAAAAAAAATCGGAAAGGACTTTTCCACCAAAGCTGTTTGAAAAAAGTCACAAAAGACTTTAAAAGTTTAGATCTCGAAAATGTTTTACGATAAAAAGGATTTAATTTGAAAGAAGTTTCGGGATCCTAGGAGACGTTTGAATCTCTAGAACAGATCAGGCTTGCTTCTCTAGAACAGATCAGGCTTGCTTCTCTAGAACAGATCAGGCTTGCTTCTCTAGAACAGATCAGGCTTGCTTCTCTAGAACAGATCACGTTTGAGTCTCTAGAGGTGAATAAATCGACGATCCTGACTTCGGGTTTTCATGTGCCTATCAAGGAGGAGTTCGGCTACCTCACATCGCTTCGTTCTATTGGCCGGAGACAAGAGGTGTGGAACCCAAAATCCGAGCCTTTGAACTTTTCCCATTTTCCGAAGATGTTTCAAAATCGTGGTATGGTGGCAATTCATTTGCTCAGCGAGTTCCCGACTCGTTTGTCGAGGATCCTCTTCAACTAAATCAGCAAGTTTGTCTTCGTCGATTTCCGATGGTTTTCCTATTCTTGCACTATCGAGAAGTGAGAAATTTCCTTCACGAAATCGTTGAAACCAATGCCGGATAGTTCGTTCGGTCACGAAATCTCTAGAAAAGATCACTAGAGTCTCTAGAAAAGATCAGAACTCTTGAATTTGCTGAAAGATTGCTTCTCTTGAACCGATCACTTCAAAAGGTGTTTCCCATTCAGTCGCGACCCAAATAAAATCAAAAAAATCAGTGCAAATGAAGATTTAAACCTTACTCGAAAGGAAAATGGCATTTAAACCTTTCAAAATCAAACACAAGCGAGCAACGGAGCAGCAACGAGCAGCAACGAGCAGCAACGAGCAGCAACGAGCAGCAACGGAGCAGCAACGAAATAGCAGCAACGAAATAGCAGAAAGAAAATCGGGTAAGTTTTTTTGAAAATCAAGTAAACTGAGCTAAAATCTTCGTTTATTATATAAAAATCTGTAAAGAATCGAAAAAAGAAAATGATTTTAAAAGGTTTGTGAAAGATTTTTTTAATTAAAAAGAATTTTATAAGTTCAACTATTTTGTAGAGAAAAAAAAAATCGTCATTTCAATGCATTTCAAATTAGGATTTAAACCTTTCAAATAGCATTTAAACCATTCAAATTAGCATTTAAACCTTTAAAAACATTATTTAAACATTGAGAGCATAAAAAACAAAAACCGTAACCGGGAAAAAAAAAAATCGAAATCTCATTTTTTTCTAAATTTCCAAAAATAATTTCCGTATTTTTGCGGTGTAAATACGGGCGTTTTTTTCTTTCATTTTACTTTGTTTATCTCAAAACTCAAAAATATCGACTAGAGAATGAATTTTCAAAAAAATAAACGACTAAACGGACAGTCAAAAAAAAAAATGAGAAAAGCGAAAAATTGGCGTTTTTTTTTGGAAAAGCAAATTTTGTTTTTTGTTTTGCATCGTTTAGAAAATCGGCTCAACAAACTGAAAACACAAGCCTCCTGGCACACTGGGGTTTCCATTTTCTAACAGAAACACCTGTTGGAAAATGAAGAAATCAGTGGAGTAGAAAGTTTGCGTTTACTATTTCGTTTACTAATTCGAGTCCATCGACCTGTAATAGCTTCAAAAATCAAATCCAGCTTTGAGATTAACTTTAGAACTCTAAAATAATTCGAATATTCAATCTAGAGCTTAATCCTATTGTTTACAAATGTTAAAATATTTTTTTGAACTCAAAAAACAGTCAAAGAAGTCGAAAAATAGGGCATTCAACCCTTTCAACCTCTAACCAAATGCGCGCCATCTTTGCTTTCCCAAACAACGCCAAAAACAGATAATATTAGCAAGCATAACGTTTAATAAACAAAAAAGCATTATTAATAGAAAAAAAAAAAGAGATGAAAACGGTTGATAGGGCACTAGAACCCGGGGGAGACACGAAAAAATGAAAAAAAAAAAGAGTAAAAAAGAGGAAACACACACAAAACATTAGAGAAAATGAATATGTTTGCAAAGTTGTTCATTGTTGGGAATTTTTGTGAGAAAATTGATCGACGAGACGTCATTTCACCGCTAGAAATCATGATTTTATATTCTAATTTTGCCTTAAGCTTAAGAGACTTTAGATATAGCTTGAATCTAAAGTATGCACTCGGTTGAAGCGTTTTCGAAAAGATAGCTGATTGTGGGTACTAGCTGGGGTACGGTAGCTGCTAGGGTAGTTACCGGAGTACCGTAGCTTGCCCAGTACTTATCAGGGTACGGTAGCTTCCGTAGTACTTACTGGGATACGGTAGCTTGCTTAGTACTTACTGGAGTACGGTAGCTTGCCCAGTGCTTATCAGGGTACGGTAGCTTGTCCAGTTCTCACTGAAGTACGGTAGCTTTCCTAGTACTCACTGGGGTACGGTAGATGGCAGAGTACAGTAGGTAGCTGTTAGGATACAACGAGAGTACCTAGTAAGTAGTACTGTAGCTTACCTAGTACTTACTGGGTACAATAGCCTCAAGTACGATGCCTCAGATACTTATAGGAGTGATAGCCTTTTCAGCGTACTTACAGGAGTACAGTAGCTTATCTAGTATTTACTGGGGTACCGTAGTGGACACCTACTGAAGTTGATAGCTGTCAGAGTACGGTGTCAGTTTACCTACCGGGTCTCTACCCCTTCTCTACAAACTACGGTAACTTTCAGTGCATTTTCGATCGCTTCAACTAAGGGAAGAGTTGGCCTTTTGACTCTAGATCAAGTCGATCTTATAAAATCGGCCATGGGGATCTAGAAGTTGTTTTTAGTTTTTGCAAAACCCTTCGTAAATGCGACATATTTAGCACAGAAAATCACCTTTCAAACTTCTTAACAAAGTCGTCAAACGCTCCCTTAACAGCTGTTTCTGTGGTTCAGTGGATAGTCTGCTAGACTACCGACGCAACTAGAATTTTTGCTCTCAAGTTCGAGTCCCACTCTCGCCAAACTTTCTTGTTTTGATAAAAAAAACTGTTTCCTTACGTATTTGTATTGAATTAGTGACTCGAATTTTATCCCATGGCTTTCTGTAACTTCAAAAAAAGTCTTTCTAAGCTTTCTGTAAGCTTTCAAAAGCTGAAACCATCAAAAAAGTACAGTCGACTCGATTTAACGATTCGCTTCTGATCAAAAATTTCGATTTAACGACTTTAAAACGATTAAAATTCCTTGCGTAGTTGCCCTGAGCGGCCAACGATTGCTGGGGCAGCTACGCAGAAACCAAGGACGTGTTTTAGAATTTCAAAATCGTTGTATCGAATCGAGATCGAGAGTCGACTGTATTAAAATCAGTAGATAAGTATTTCAATTGACCATTTGTTGTCAAATCGCTGAAGGCACAGAAAATAGCATAGAATTCAACTCTTTTAAATTCAACTCTTCAACTATCCACTAGACCATTGAAGCAGTGGTTGAGGGGAACGTTTAACGGCCTCTTAAGGAGTCTGAGGCGTCATTTTCACTCATCAAACGAACCTTATTTGTTGGTGGTGGACTGGTGGGTGATTTCGCTTGCGCTTTTTTCCCGAAACTGAACAATCCTCCACTTTTCGTCTTTCCTTGATCCTTTGATGAGGCGCCTGAGGCTGAGCCGTGTCTCGGCGAGTCAACTTTCCCTGGGGCACCCTGAAAAAATGTATTATTAAGGTGTAAAAATACAGAATACTGTATCGATTTATTTAAAAATCAAAATCCACCTTTGGAGCTGATGTGCCAAGCTTGCCGAAAGCGTTCTGCGACGATGACATCACTGGCGCTGTCGCCGAGCCACTGCCTGGCTTCTTGTCATCACTAAATCAATTTTTTTAAAAAGTATAAATAATACTATAGTTTAAAAAGATCATACTTAGATCAGCTTTAAAAAGATCAGCTTAGTTTAGCCCTATCTATGCCCATTGCTTAGTGTTTTAAAGGTATAAGATCTTATGACTTACAGCCCTAAATTATCCATTCCACCGGCCAACTGCGATTGATATCGCTTCGGGTCGACTAGAGCAGCTAACAGAACTTTCTGTTGATCCAGTTGAGCCGAAAGCGCTGCGATCCATTGATCTTTCTCCTCGGGACTGAAAATAGGTCAATTAATTCTAATTCTTTTTCAAAAACATGTCAATTTTCTTGATTTTCTCTTGATATTTTCTTTTCTCATCAATTTTCTGTCAATTTTCTCGTTCTTATTTCTAGTTTTCTCCAATCTATCCACTTTTTATAGCTTTCAATATATTTAAACCCTAGAATCAAGATAGATTGGCTAAAATTTGATACAAGATTACGATAGTTGAGAAAAATGACACGTTTTAGAAAGCGCATTCTATTTAGTAATGTAGTGGTTCGATATTTGACTTAAATAAAAGCATAATAGACTTTATCCAGGCAGAATTCATAAACTAAGAAGGAAAGTGTTGGCTAAACATCTTATCGAAATTTATCCTGAAGCGCCACGGCGACAAAAACAGCCTTAAAACACTCAAACTTGTTATTAAGCGGGTTTTTCAGCTGGATTTCAGCTGAAAAAAGATGTAGAAGTAGGATTAGATAAAATAGAAACAGGTAGAAAGAAAAAAGGGGACAAGTTTTAGGAAAAATCCAGCAGGTGAACGGGAAGATTTGCTCTGTCAATTGCTTTATCAATGCCCATTGCTTAGTTTAGCTCTATCAATGCCCATTGCTTAGTTTAGCCCTATCTATGCCCATTGCTTAGTGTTTTAAAGGTATTTACTGTAAACTATTGTAATTTCTCTTTACTACTAGAAGTAGAATTTGAATTTCCTTATCCAAATTCAAACTCACGTCTGTGATAGGGCGATGAATGCCGGTTGTGGACCAGCGTCAGCCGGAGCCGATGCGCCAGCTTTTTTCTCGTCCATTTTGATGACAAATTTGAGCGGATCATCGGCCACATTCGTTTCCAACATCATCTTGTTCACCTAAATCTTTACAAATCAATTTCAGATCTATCTAAACGGACCATAATTTGACTTCTGAAGATATACGTGGGATTGCCGAACTCTTTCTTTGGCGGAATGTGATCGGCGATGATTGCGGATTGTTCGAAAAGGAAAATTCGGCGATCTTTTGGTTTATCGACTTTTCCCCCGACTGATTCACTGATCGACAAGGTGCCCTAGAAATTTCAACATTGGTTTTAAAAGTAAAAACTTTAGATTTAGAACAGTACGAGTTTTCTTTGCGCTTTGTGCTTTCAAAAAGATTTAAACGTACTTTCTCACTCGATTCTTTAGTTTTAAGGCTTTTAATGTGAGAAAAATGTGAAGAATTCACTGACGATTAGCAATAAAATTTTAACTTTTCTTACCTGATACAACAATTTCCCCTGAGCGCTGAGATTTCCATCGAAATTCTGCAAACGTCCAACTTGCATCATATCGTCACAAGCTTTCGGCACAACGTGCATCACCTAAACATTGCAAATTTTTGTTATAATTTCATTTATCTAACACTTTCCCATTTACCGTATTTTCTCTAATAGTAATGCACCCTGAGCTTCGCCTAAATTCCTCGAAATCTCGTGAACCGCTTATCAGAACCTATCGATGTGGGGTCGGAAAATGTAGCTGACGATGAGATCTAGTGGGGGATTTGAGTATTGAGCTTCTGGGAAAACTTTGGAAGCCGTAAATCGTCACCAACTCGGCTCGCCGGGGCGCACTACTATTAGAGAAAATACGGTATGTTTCAATTCTTAGCTTGTTTAATCGGCTATAAGAAAAACTAGAGTCATTTAGAGTCATTTAGAGTCATTAAAAGCCATTAAAAGCCATTAGAAGCCATTTTCTTACGAAAACTTGCTTAAAATCCTTCAAATTTCAAACTCTTCCTTAAATAATGCTTTTTTTTCTTTTTCTATGTTAAAAGCATAAACAAATCTTTGTTTAAACTATTATAAAATCAAATTTTCATTGCTTTAAATGCTTTTATTGTCGTCATGTTAAAAACGAGATGAAATAAGCCATGAAAAACAAGATTTTGAGTGTTTTAGAGGATTTCAAAGCTAACATTAGGCTGAAAAGTAATAATTTTATCTTTACTAACCTTTTTAAAGCACGAATAACTAATAAAAAGCATTTTGCCTTCATTTTAATCACAAGTTTTTATGGAGAAAAGCATTTAAAAGCATCAGAATTTTATTTACGACGCTTCTATGGCTTCAATGGCCTTAATTTTTCTCACAGCCGACTTATCAAGCTAAAAATTGAAATATAAATGTGAAAATGTTCTATAAATAAAATTATAATAAAGTTTAAGTAATTTGACACATTTGTCGACTTAATCTGCCTTCATATTATGAGCCACCGCTGGCTCAGCTCATAGTCAAATTCCCTAAGCTTTGATTGACTATAACTTTACCTAGAGATCAAATCATTAACAAGTTTTTATATCATTGGAAAGAGGAGATTTCAGGCTTTCAAATGATGCTAAATAGAGCTTGATTGGATTATTCAGTCCAAGAAAATCAAGCAAAACGAAATCCGAGTTGAATCAGACACTTTGCTCAGAGTTTGGCTTTAAATTTTTGGACTGGTTAATCCAATCAAACTCTATTTGGTATCATTTGAAAGCTTGAAATGTCCTTGTTACAAATATAGAAAAAGTTATGAATAATCTGATCTCTAAGGAAAGTTATAGTCAATGAAAGCTTAGCTAATCAAAGCATAGCCAATCAAAGCTTAGTCCACTCATTGAAAATGCTGGATTTCGGCTAAAAGCTGTTTTTTTATTTAAAAAAACTAGCAACTCTTTAATGTTTTAGACTAAAATACTTATAAATATGAAAACTAGCATATCAAAAGTTTAAATTCAAATCAAATCACCCGCAGAGCTTTATTGAGATGCGTTGTGTCGTCATTGGCTCGTTCGGTGAACTTTAGAATGTCTTTCAAGAGCAATTGATACTAAAATTAAGCTTTTTAGAATAGGTTTTCAATTTAGAGTAAAAATGAAAAGAATGAAACTCACTTTCATGATTCTTTGCACTGGTTTGATGAGAAGATCGCATAGCGCCACTTTGTGACCGAGTTTCAGCTTTGTTTCAGCAAAAAACTAAAAAAAATTATATATAAATTTCGAATACCCAACGAGAAATAGATAGATGAGATCGATTTTCTTCTATTTAACGAAAAAAATCTGCAAGCTAAGCAAGTTTTTGCTGTTTTAAACACTTCTTTGTAAGAAAAGGGGAATAAAGCGCGCTACAAAGGGCTACTAACGCACAAAATGAACGTTTAAAAATGTCTAACTATAGTTGGCTAAAATGATAGTTTTATCGGGAGTAGGACAAATGCGACCTTTTTTTTTGCGCACCTTGCCCATTAGCGCACTTTTTTTCGCGTTTTAAAAAAGCTCTAAAAGCTAATATTAACCAATTTCTATTCCAAATGTTGTTTTTCTAGGTAGTTTTAGGGCGTAGAATCGAAATTTTGACATAACAGAGCGTGTGGAAACAAACGGACGGAGTTATACAAAGAGGAAAGAGGAAAAAAGGTAGCATTTGTCCCACTCCCCCTGCACTCTCATTTAAGGAGTTTATATAGAAAAATTTCTATATAAAGTCAAGCTAAGCACATTTTTATACGATTTGTATACGAAATTTGGTTCTTTATCTCTCTAAATTTGGTTCTTTATCTCTCTAAATTTGGTTCCTTATTACTCTAAATTTGGTTCCTTATCTCTCTAAATTTGGTTCCATTACAGAGTCAAATTACAGAAAATTGTCGATTTTTCTCTTTGTATAACTCCGTCCGTGTGTTTCCACAAGCTCTGATATGTCAAAATTTCGATTCTACGCCCTAAAATTACCTAGAAAACTAGAAAACAACTTTTGGAATAGAAATTGGTTAATATTAGCTTTTTAGAGCTTTTTTAAAACGCGAAAAAAGGTGCGCTAATGGGCTAAGTGCGGAAAAAAAGGTGCGCAAATGTCCGGGTGCGCAAAAAAAAGGTAGCATTTGTCCCACTCCCCCCTGCACTCTCATTTAAGAAGTTTATATAGAAAAATTTCTATATAAAGTGAAGCTAAGCACATTTTTATACGATTTTACATATAAAACATATTTCGATAAGTTTTTACTTGTTCAAATCGCTCCTCGGCCACCAGATAGTCGGATTTCGGCTTGTTTTGGCAGTATTTCACATAGAGATTCTCCAAGCGTCTTTCCTAAAGAAATAAAATGAATAAAAGTCAATAAATCGATAAATAGATCAATAAAATAACTGATGAAATAGATTGAATTCAAGAAAAAAAAAAACTGATATTTAAGCTTTTGAAAGGTTTGAGAAGATGAAAGAACATGAGAAATTTCTCGGGGTAGGTTAATCTCCGCAACTCGACATAACTTTCTTCTAATTCGACCAATCTTTATGATTTTGGTGTCATTTTGTTGCACTTGTTGAGATCTACAAAATGACACCAAAATCATAAAGATTGGCCGACTTAGAAGAGAGTTATGGCGAGTTGCGCAAAAAGAATTGCGGAAATTAGCCTGCTGAAAGATTTCTGCTGAATAGCGTCTATTCTTCTCGTTTTCTAGACAGATTACTGTAATGAAAGTGTGTTTTTTGCTCTCTAATCTTTCTAAAAAGTGTCCGAATTTCTCTTTTTATCAAATCTATCTACGAAAAAACTCTAATAGAACGGCCCCCTATTGGAGCGTCGCGTAGTCTACGTTTCCTCACAAACAAACGCTGATGAACAAAATAATCTAAAATCTACTGTAAATACTGTAATAGTACCCCACCCCCATAATGACGGTGCGGAGCGTTGCGTAGTCTAGCTTTGGACGCGTTTTTCTCGACACCGGTTTATGCTACAATGCTCGCTTAGGTATCAAAAAATAGCTGAAATTCAGGGCTATTTTTTGATACCAAAGACGTATTTTTTGGAAGTACGGGTGCTTTGAAAAAAGTGAAAAAAGGTGCGGAGCGTTGCGTAGTCTAGCTTTGAACGAGTTTTTCTCGACACTGGTTTATGCTACAATGTTCGTTTTGGTATCAAAAAATAGCTGAAATTCAGGGTTATTTTTTGATACCAAAGACATATTTTTTGGAAGTACGAGTGCTTTGAAAAACAATAAAATACTAAAAAACTTTTGCGACTACGCGACTGTACGACGGGGGTGGGGTACTATTACAGTATTTACGGTAGTTAATTTATTGTAAAAATAACGGTTTTTGTACAGTAGTTTGTCTAAAATAGATGCTTTTTAGAAAACGCTTTGTCTATTAGTTTGTCTAACTAATTACAGTAACTTTTTTTTCATCACTTACATATTTGACGAAAGCTCTTCCGGCCGCGTTGTAGTCGTGAAGGCTTTTCTCAATCTCCTAAGCTCATAATTCAATTTGATTTGATTAGAAATTGTTTAACGATTGTAATATTGTATATGTCGTAGCCGTTTACGAAATTCAGCCGCTAACGAATGAGGGTATTTCCGGGCATCCAATCAAAAAGTGACCCACATAAAAAATGTTCATAATACATATATTTTATAATAAATTTTTGAAATTAACTCATTTGGTTCAGTAGAAAATTTTTTTTGAGCCCCCAAAGTTTAGGTTCAAAAATGGCCCTAAAATGGCTATAAAAAATTTTCTACTCAACCAAAAAACTTGCTTAATAGCTCATTTTGTAGCCAATTTGATGTAGTTTCTTAAAGTAAAGCCATCTAAAACAATTTGTCGTTGAAAGTAGGAGAAAGAGGGCGAGGAACAAATTCAGGGCAATTCTCAAATGTGAAAACAGCGACCGAGTTCAACTGAAGTCGTTCCTCGCCCTCTTTCTCCTACTTTCAACGACAAATTGTTTTAGATGGCTTTACTTTAAGAATCTACATCAAATTGGCTACAAAATGAGCTATTAGGCAAGTTTTTTGGCTGAGTAGAAAATTTTTTATAGCCATTTTTGAACCTAAACTTTGGGGGCTCAAAAAAAATTTTCTACTGAACCAAATGAGCTAATTTCAAAAATTTATTATAAAATATATGTATTGTGAACATTTTTTATGTGGGTCACTTTTTGATTGGATGCCCGGAAATACCCTCATTCGTTAGCGGCTGAATTTCGTAAACGGTTACGACATATATATATATATATATCTATTTTTTTTAAAAATCATTACTTTCAAGAACGAATTCGCGTGAAATTCCTGAATTTGCGCAATATTGGCGAAGATAATCTTGTCCTTTCCGAGTAAATCCTCGGGCAAATTGGCTTCCTGAAATTTTAGCGAATGAAATTAGCGCTAATGATCTATTACACAGAATTATCTATGTATTCAATGATACATAGATATCAAATAGATCATAGAATAGATCGAAACCTACACAATTTGCCACGTATCCCTCGACGACGCTCGCGAGATCTTTCACGTAGTCTTTCTCCGTCTCAACCAACTCCATTAACACGTAGCTGAAAGGGGAAATTTGGATAATATTGTAAAAGTTGATATTATATGTTTTTTGGCAGATCGGATCGGGCTAGTCTGATCGATCGGGTGAATCGGGCTAGTCCGATCGATCAGGATCAGTCGGATCAGGCTAGCTCGATTGGGCGGACGGATAGGATTGGATCAGGCTAGCCCGATTGGTCGGATCTATTGGATCGGATCGGATCAGGCTAGCTCGATTGGGCGGACGGATAGGATTGGATCAGGCTAGCCCGATTGGTCTAGCCTATTGGATTGGAATGGATCAGGCTAGCCCGATTGGTCGGATCTATTGGATCGGAATGGATCAGGCTAGCTCGATTGGGCGGACAGATAGGATTGGATCAGGCTAGCCCGATTGGTCTAGCCTATTGGATCGGAATGGATCAGGCGAGCCAATCGGCTCGCCTCTCACCCCTCTTGTCCCTGGTTCGAATCCCCTTACTATCCAGATTTCTTTTGTCAAAGCACTAAAACCAATTTTTCAGTGTCTATTAACAGTAATGAAGCCATATACGACTGGAAATAGAGCTCAGTTTTAGAGAATGTTGGACAGGAGGAGCGATCAAGCTACATTACTCTAACCGAGCTTTCTTTCTGACTTTAAAACTTCATTAGATGCCAGGGATGCCAGGGATTATTCATTATCTACTTCCAATTCTATAAAATATTCTTAACCTCGAGAATATTGTAAGGAAATTGCTTGAATGGCTACAATGTCCTCAATCTCACCTCCTCTTGAGTCTCGCCGTTTCCTGTGGGCTTTTCTCTTGTCTTTCTTCAACAACTTCTCCATTATTTTCCGAATTCGAGGCACCGGCTTGTGAGTTGTCTTCATTGTTCTGAAATTTGGTTGTTGTTGTTGTTGCTGTTCTTGTTCTTGTTCTTGTTCTTGTTCTTGTTGCTGTTCTAGTTCTAGTTCTAGTTCTAGTTCTAGTTCTAGTTCTTGTTCTTGTTCTTGTTAGTTGTTCGTTTGTTCTACTAGTAATTGATCTTCATTGTCATCTCATCATCGTAATGTCAAGCCTTATTTCCCCTGAAAGCTTCTCAAAGCTTCTCAAAGCTTCTCAACGCTTCTCAAAGCTTCTCAAAGCTTCTCAAAGCTTCTCAACGCTTCTCAAAGCTTCTCAAAGCTTCTCAAAGCTTCTCAAAGCTTCTCAACGCTTCTCAAAGCTTCTCAAAGCTTCTTAAAGCTTCTCCAAGCTTCTCCAAGCTTCTCAAAGCTTCTCAAAGCTTCTCAAAGCTTCTCAAAGCTTCTTAAAGCTTCTCCAAGCTTCTCCAAGCTTCTCAAAGCTTCTCAAAGCTTCTCAAAGCTTCTCAAAGCTTCTCAAAGCTTCTCCAAGCTTCTCAAAGCTTCTCAAAGCTTCTCAAAGCTTCTCAAAGCTTGTTAAAGCTTCTCAAAGCTTCTCAAAGCAGCTTTTCAAAGCTTCTCAAAAACTAATCAACAGAAAGTCGAATCGATTCAATTTCTCCCTCTTTTCACTCAAAAATTTCATCAATATCCAAATGAGAAATGAAAATTTGACATCTATATTGAAAGTCTTAAGGAAAGGACAAATATGGGGGGAATATGGGGGAATATGGAGGGAAATGAAGTGAAAATGAAGCCAAAATGAAGCCAAAAGATGGCTCGAATTACATCATTTCACATTCTTTATGGGAAATTTTCATCGATCACATTGAATTTTTTGAATTTAAGAAAAGAGAAAGACAGAATTTATGGATTTAGCTATTCAAGAATGGTATTTGTCTGTTTTTCAAAAAAGATGAGAAGCTTGTCGATGATCGAACCCGCCGCAAAGGACCGCATGGGTTTTCCAGCTCGGTACACGCTAGGCCACCGCCGCTCTTTACTCGAGTCCATGTGACGTCCTCTTATTGGCTGGGGACGATTTTTCCTCGAAACTTTCAGCCATAAGCCATAAGCTTGTTTCTATTGGATCTATTGGATCGGAATGGATCAGGCTAGACAATCGGTCGGACCTATTGGATCGGAATGGATCAGGCTAGCCCGATTGGTCTAACCTATTGGATCGGAATGGATCAGGCTAGACAATCGGCCGGACCTATTGGATCGGAATGGATCAGGCTAGCTCGATTGGTCGGACCTATTGGATCGGAATGGATCAGCCAATCGGCCGGACGAATCGCATCAGATTCGATCCGATAAACATGTCTAATATAAGATAACTTCAGCCAAATCCTGTCATGCAGACGCCATGGTCGAGTGGTTAGGAGCCTTGTTTCCTAGTCGGGAGGTCACGGGTTCGGTGCCAGTGGCTGGTCTTTTTTCCATATATTGGTTGCGTATCCTTTTGTATAGGGCTCTATAGGGCTTTATAGAGCTCTATAGGGCTCTATAGGGCTTTATAGGGCTTTATAGGGCTTTATAGGGATCTATAGAGATCTATAGGGCTCTTTAGGGACCTAAAGGGATCTGTAGGGCTCTATAGGGATCTATAGAGATCTATAGGGCTCGATAGAGCTCTATAGGGCTCTATAGGACTCCATAGGGCCGTGTAGGGATCTATAGGGCCCTATAGGGGTCTATAGGGCCCTATAGGGATCTATAGGGACCTAAAGGGATCTATAGAGATCTATAGGGCTCTATAGGGCTCCATAGGGCTTTATAGGGATCTATAGAGATCTATAGGGCTCTATAGGGCTCCATAGGGCCGTATAGGGCTCCATAAAGATCTATAGGGCTCTATAGGGCTCTATAGGGCTCTATAGGGCTCCATAGGGCTTTATAGGGCTTTATAGGACTCTATAGGATTCTATAGAGCTCTATAGAACTCCATAGACCTCTATAGGGCTCTATAGACCTCTATAAAGTTTGTAAATTGACCAATCAACGAGATCTGATTGAGTAAAATCTAAAGAACATCCCGAAACATTGTGAAGCTCTTTGGCCTTTTTGAACTCAACAACTCCGGAATCCAAATAAATCCCTCTCCTTTTCCCCTATTCGAAATTTCAGTCACCTTTTAGACCTTTTCCCCCAGTTTTTTTCCCCGTTTTTCCCCGTTTTTTCCCGAAAATTTCAAACACAAAATTCTGAATGCAAAATAGGTGATGGGAGTTTTTCTCGGGCGGAAGATCAAATTCAGGAAAATAAATGAGCATTTTCTAGGTGGGAGAAAAACTAAATCCTAGTATCTTTTAGAAAGTTTTTTTTGAATAAAAAGTACTGTACTTTTTCTCTAAATCCTCACCAAATTCTCTCCATTATCGTTGTTCATTGGCGTGTTTATGTCAGTGTTGTTCATCGTGGTTGAGAGCGGCACGTGTAAGTCGATCATTGGAGGTGGCAGGCTTGTGGGAATTGTGGCACAACTCGACAGTGATGACGAGTTGTTGGCGAGTGGCTGAATTTGAGTTGATAAGTGATGGATAAAGCTGAGGCTTTGATCTTTGTAGCTCATTGGTAGGGAAGCGAGAATCCAGAGATTCTGAGATCCAGAGATCCTGAGATCCTGAGAAAGCGGAAGGGTTCGAGTCCCGACGCTGATTGTTTAAATTCGCAGCCCCAGCTTTGGTTATAGTTATAGTGTTATAGATAGAGATATCCCAAAAGGCTAGAAGCTGGCTCAGCCAAGTCCAGACAAAAGGCTAGGCCTTCTGTCAGTCTACCACTGGTTTTCTGCCGATCTTCTGCCAGTCTTCTGCCGATCTTCTACCAATCTTCTACCAACTTCTACCAATCTTCTGCCACCCTTCTAACCAACTCCAGTCTTAGCTTGAAAGACTTGACTTCAAGAAAATGCTTTTAAACAAGAAAAGCTTTTAAAACAAACTCTAGCATAGAAAGAGCCTTTTTCTGCATAAAAACAACTCTTTTCTCCATAGAAACAACTTTTAAAACAATTTTCTTCCCTACAACAAACCTGTATTTGCACAGGAGTCCCCGAGTGATCGCTGCTGTTGTTCTGGTGAAACGAGGGACCGGAAAGCGAGTTCTAAAAGTGGAAACATTGGTGATTTTAGGGAAAAACTAGTAGAATTTGTTGTTTAGTGTCAAAGTTGTTTGGTGCTTGTTTTTCTTTTAAATTTGTCTGATTATCAGACAAATTGGTTTGGTTTCTTTGGTTTCTTGGTTTCTTGGTTTCTTGGTTTCTTTGGTTTCTTGGTTTCTTTATCATTTTCTTTATCATTCTTTTCTTTATCATTTTCTTTAACAAACCCTCTCAGAATGGGTGACACTGGCAGTGGATGAGGCGTTCACTGGCGAAGCTCGCTCCTTTTTCCCACCGATTAAACCTCTGAAAGTTGTAAAGTTGGGAAAAGATCTCTTTTGATTGATTTTAGGCTTGTAGAGAGATTTATTAAGGCTTATTACGGCTTTAAAGAAAGGATTAAAGCATTTAAAATCAATTAAAACCAATTAAAACCAGGAAAAACCAAGAAAAAACAAAAATTTCCACAAATTTCTACGAAAACTCGATTTTTTATTCAAGAAATTCTTTTAGAATCAAGATTTTTACAAAAATTAAAAGAAAATTGATTTCCCAATGGGTTTAGAATTGAGAATTTCTCTCATTTTTGCATTTTTTTTTCATTTCAGCTTAAAAGAAACATTTGAAAATCGGAAAAAAGAGATTTTTCTTGAGATTTTTCAGAAACAATGACGATTCTCATTATTCAATCTTTAGCTATGGAAACATCTTTTCAAGAACGACCAAAAAACGATTTGAAATGCTCAAAAAACAATCGCGAACTTGAAATTGATGAAATGAATCAATAAAACTATAGAGATGGCAGAGTTTTAAGCTAGAATTTCAGCCGATTATGAATGAGTGGGTCTAGGAGCGTCCAACCATCAAGTATTTAGTATCATTCAACGCAGAATCATTGAGAATAGGAGCGTCCAAGTGAGTCTAGGAGCGTCCAAGTGAGTCTAGGAGCATTCAAGTGAGTCTAGGAGCATCCAAGTGAGTCTAGGAGCGTCCAAGTGAGTCTAGGAGCGTCCAAGTGAGTCTAGGAGCATCCAAGTGAGTCTAGGAGCGTCCAAGTGAGTCTAGGAGCGTCCAAGTGAGTCTAGGAGCATCCAAGTGAGTCTAGGAGCGTCCAAGTGAGTCTAGGAGCGTCCAAGTGAGTCTAGGAGCGTCCAAGTGAGTCTAGGAGCGTCCAAGTGAGTCTAGGAGCGTCCAAGTGAGTCTAGGAGCGTCCAAGTGAGTCTAGGAGCGTCCAAGTGAGTCTAGGAGCGTCCAAGTGAGTCTAGGAGCGTCCAACCATCAAGTATTTAGTATCATTCAACGCAGAATCATTAATAATTATGTTAAATTTTTAAAATTAGAAAGATTGGATAAAAAGAAAAAAAATTATGGGGCCTCAAAGTTTCCTCTTGAACAAACAGTTTTTTTGCTCTAATTTTTTTTCTTTTCATCAAATCTTGCTAATTTTAAAAATTTAACATAATTATTAATGATTCTGCGTTGAATGATACTAAATACTTGATGGTTGGACGCTCCTAGACGCTCATTGGACGCGCCACTCATTCATAATCGGCTGAAATTCATCATCGGCTACGGGGGTCCCGCCGATTTTGAATGAAACGTTGTAGCGCCGGTAATTTTAAACCTAAACGCACAAATTTGGTACCAATCGACGCAGAATTTAATTCGCTACAAGATGCTACAAGCTACAAGATGATATAATATTGTCCTCATACATTAAAGAGTTGCTCTACTAGAAAGATTCGGCAAAAAATTTAATTCATAATCGGCTACGACATATAAATGCTTTATTCATGGGCGAATAGAAGCGAATCAGATAATCATAACTGCATATAACATATTCCTACAATACTTTCACCAAAAAAAGAGAGAAAACTAAAGATAGCACAGTAAGAGTACAGTAAGAGTACAGTAAGAGTACAGTAAGAGTACAGTAGGAGTACGTCTGTAGGAAAGACAGAGACAAAAAGAATAAATATAGGGCAGATTCGAGATGGCAATAAGATCTAATTCGTTTACAGAGGACTTTCAATTTTCCTACAGACGAGAAGATACCAGACGATTCCTACAGACGAGCTTATTCCAAACCCTACTAATGCGGTTCGCAAAAGAATGATAAAGGGAAAGATGATGAGAACCGACCGAAATTTGATAAGGATCACTACGTGAACTTCTATAAATTTCCACAATTTTCGAGAGGCTTTGAAAGCTTTCAAGCTTAGGCTTAGGCTTCAAGCTTAGGCTTAGGCTTGAAGCGTAGGCTTAGGCTTAGGCTTAGGCTTCAAGCTTAGGCTTAGGCTTAGGCTTCAAGCTTAGGCTTCAAGCTTAGGCTTCAAGCTTAGGCTTCAAGCGTAGGCTTAGGCTTAGGCTTAGGCTTAGACTTAGGCTTCAAGCCTAGGCTTCAAAGCTTTCAAGCTTTTTCAAGAGGCGCTGAAATTCTGGATGTGACTTAGGATGGAAAAGAATTTTATAGCAAAAAATAAGATAATCAAAAAATAATCACTCTTTAAAGTTTACTTTGTCGCTGAGTGAGAACACAAACTTTTTGCTACACTTGGGCTGCTGTTTCTTGGGTTTTTTCTAGAAAAATCAAGAATTCTTTGCACTAGAAAGGGTTTTTTTTAAAAGATTTGAATAAGGAAAACGATTCTAGAGGGTTTTTATTTGATTTTGATTTGATTTGATTTGATTTTGATTTGATTTTTTTTTCGTTTTGCACAATTTTTCAAAGCATTTGACTCATCTCATCGATGTAACTCGAGAAAAAAGAAAAAAAAGAGAATTAGGCGTAGATTTGTGTCTGAATACTCTCTGAAGAAGAGAAAGAAGGGATTAAAGAGAAATGTGTCTCAAAAGCGAGCAAAGACGGAGAAAGGGAAGAGAGCGTAAAAGAGATCCTTGCAAAGGATGGAGTTGATGGAAAGGCTGATGGAAAGGATTTTAACGCTTCATGCTAACGGATAGCTGCATGTTAATAGTTAGAAGCAACATTTTTATTCGAAATAGTTGAAAGCTGGATTGAAATAGAGACAGGAACTTGTCAATAAACAAATTCAAAAAACGCCAAAGAAAAAAGTCGAAAGGGGAATCGAACCAGACTGGGTTGGCTTGACGTTCGCCTTGTATTCTAGCCCACTGCCAATTGGCCACCAATGCTGTGAGATACCCCTGGGAAATCTCCTGATAAAATAAGTTTGACTTCCCATTCAAAAATTGAAACGAAAGTCAAAGGCCGGACTCGAACCAGACCGGTCCTCCCTTCCGTTCGCCTTGTATTCTAACCCACTGCCACTCGGCCACCACTGCTGCTAGAGACCTCTGTGAAATCTGCTGATAAACTCTGAGTTTGACTTCTCATACAAAGGCCATACAAAACTTTAAGCCCTTATAACTTTTGACAGAGTGCTCCAAATCAGAAACGGAAAACAGATTCGGAATCAGCATGTAATTCAGCGTTGGATGCTCTATGGCAGATGTCATTTAGCAAAGAGACAAGACGATGAAATAGACAAAAGACAACACGCTCAAATCAGATCATTTTCGCTACAAATTCTACGTTCTGTTAAAGCATTTTGGACTTAAACAGTAGTTAACAGTAGTTAACAGTAGTTAAATAGTAGTTAACAGTAGTTAACAGTAGTTAAATAGTAGTTAACAGTAGTTAAGCAGTAGTTAACAGTAGTTAACAGTAGTTAAATAGTAGTTAACAGTAGTTAACAGTAGTTAACAGTAGTTAACAGTAGTTAACATTAGTTAAATAGTAGTTAACAGTAGTTAAGCAGTAGTTAACAGTAGTCTTCGAGGGTTTTCAGGCTCGAGGAATTGATTGGAGCTATTCATTTTATTCTGTTTATCAATAGTTTTTCGAATTTGAGCATCAAAATCAAAGAATTCGATAAATTTGAACCGAATTGTTTGTTTGAACCGAATTCTTTGGGTAAACCTTATGGAAAAGAGATTATGATGAAGAATTAGCAAAGAATGAAGAATTAGCTTAGGCAGGGGGCAGACTGGATAGTTTTGCGTAGAAGAAATAGGTAATTGATTCAGAATTCAGGATTGATTCAGGATTGATTCAGTCTTGGATCAGGACTCAGGATTGATTCAGGATTGATACAGGATTGATTCAGGATTGATTCAGTCTTGGATCAGGATTCAGACTTGTATCAGGATTCAGTCTTGTATCAGGATTCAGTCTTGGATCAGGATTCAGGATTGATTCAGGATTGATTCAGGATTCAATCTTGGATCAAAATTCAGTCTTGGATCAAGCTCAGCTCTAGTTACGAAAAGAGAATCATGAAAGTAGTCTTCAAAGACAAATCAAGCAAAGACATCTGGATGGAAAGGAGAGAGAGATAATAAAGGACTCTAGAGAAACTCTAGAGAAACTCTAGAGAACTCTAGAGAAAACAAAATTCTGTCTAGGGTAAGGGTAGAGAAAGGCAAGAGCCCAGGATCCAACCCATGCTCATAGCCATCAAGTGTGCCTCTAGGTCTTCTCCTTTTTCACTCTTCTTTTTTAAATTTTAAGCTTCAGAGAAAGAGCTAGAAGGTTTAGAGAAAGATAGAGAAATAGAAAGCTTTGGAAATTTGTAGATTGATTGGAGATTGAAGAATATTGAAAGAAATAAGAGGAGAAAAAGATCTAAGCTTATCGGAGACTCAGGCTGAGAAAAGCTTTAGATATTGAAGGAATAGAGAAGGAATAGAGAAGGAATAGAGAAGGAATTTTGAGAAGTGAAAGGATGAGATTCTTGAAATAGAAGAGATTTTGTGGAGAAGAGAGACAGAGTTCAGAGGAGTCCTGTAGATAGAGATTTCGAGAGGATCCAGGGTAGCCTAAGGACCAATAGATCTAAGGAAACCCAGGTCTGTAGATCTAGAAATAACAAGAGTTTAGAGAGGGCCCAGAGTAGTCTAAGGAGCAATGGGTAAGGAGCAATGGGTACATAGATCTAAGAAAAACAAGAGCTAAGAAATAGCGAAAGTCTCTGAGAGACTCTAGGGCCCAGCTCAGGGTCCCAGCCTGCCCCTTGCGGAGAATCGATCCCCATCCTGGCCCTCCTTTTCTCATTCTCTTCCCAATTCTCTTCCCCACTCTCTCCCCAATTCTCTTCCTCTTTCTCTTCCTCATTCTCTTCCCCATTCTCTTCCCCATCCTCACTCCCGATCCTCTTCCCAATTCTCTATCCAATTCTCTTCCCAGTCCTCTTCCTCATCCTCTTCCCCATCCTCTTCCCAATCCTCTTCCTCATCCTCTTCCCAATCCTCTTCCCCATCCTCTTCTCCATCCTCTTCCCAAT